GAAGGTAGATGGGATCGAAATAAACATAAAAGTCCTTTACCGTTTAGCGATATTCGTAATAATAATCGAGATATTAATGTTTGCAATTGTACCAATGAAAGCGCGCCGATAGAAACGCTCCGGTCGCTCGAGGTATAGGCTACGTTTACACCGTGCATTTAGGCTGCGGCCTATACAATAGATGTCCTTGTTTATCTTGTAGATTAAACAATGACTACGTTTACACCGTGCATTTAGGCTGCGGCCTATACAATAGAAGTCCTTGTTTATCCTGTACATTAAACAAAGACACGTATCGTATAGGTCGCGTACTAAGCGCACGGTGTAAACGTAACCAACAGACACCTATCGTATAGGTCGCGGACTAAGCGCACGAACAATCCGTTACGTGATTTACATGTTTTAATTACATGATTTCATTATGTAATGTTATGACATGACTTTTTTCAGCAGTGTATAACTTGATCTAATTTCAGAAATATCTAAATATAAGGCATACAAATATTGTAATATATTCTTACATATAAGATATGGGATATAATTCACAATGACGCAAAGACAAAATATATACCTTCGCTGTTGGGACCAGAAGCGGCTTTAATATCATCTGGACAACAACCAAATTCGGTTACATTACAACATCCCAAATAATCCTTTCCACTAGCTGCAGTCTCGTTATCTGGACAGCATCCAAATCTACGCGTTTAAACGGACAAGTGATTAAATTATAAAACTAAGATGATATACATTTGAAAAATTTACTTAATAAGAATAAAAAAAAAAACTAACTCTGTTTCTTTACATGGTTTCGTGCATCCTTCATAATCATTGCCTTGCGCTGTAGTAACACCATCGGGACAACAACCAAAAAGTGATTCGTTACAACGAGAGTCTGGACAACCCTTGTTCTTGGGACCAATGGCTGGTGACACGCCATCGGAACAGCAACCATATCGTGTCTCGTTGCATGTTTGCGGCATCGGACAACCATGATCAAATGGTCCCTGAGCAGCGGTGATATTGTCGTAGCAACATCCGAACGGTGTTTTCTTGCAGCTTTTCTTTGGTTTGCATTGCCGTTTGTGCGTCGTTGTATCTGGGAAGCTGGTTGTCCATACCTCTGTGACTAAAATTATGTTGATATTAATATAAAAAAAGAAACATTTGTTTTATACTATTCGAGATTACTTACTATGAGTCTTTTCGGTAAGATCGATTTCTTCACTGATTGTGGAGGACGTAATTTCCGTCACAATGATTTCACCAGATACAGTTGTCTCTTCAAAAGACGACGTTGTAATTAACGATTCAGTTGTCTCGCTTAATTTAATTGTCATAGTTGACTCGGTAGTCTCCGTAACTTCCGTTTCCGTAGAAACCGTGATGGTAGCCTCACTAGATTCTGTTGCGCCCGATTCGACAATTGCGCTCGAGGTCGTAACATCGCTTATAGATTCAGTCGTTAGTCCGAGTTCTGTTATCTCAGCTGATTCCGTGCTAATGCTGGACTCAGTTGTCTCTCCCGATTTGGTTATTTCGCTACTCGTTGTTTCAGTCTCATACGATGGACTCATCTCAGAAACAATAGTGTTTTCTGTACTGTTAACCACTGTAGTGTAACTCTCGTCTGTTTGACTTGATATCGTAGTTACAGCATCAGTACTCTGTTCCTCCGAACCGAAATCATACTCTCCTTGTACTTTCAATTCTGTTGTTTGCTGAGAAATCATTGTTGATGCCATCGCTGTTTCTGCAAGATACAATTAATTTATAATTTGTACTTATTTTGACTTGCTGAATAGTGGAATTAATTTAATTTTTCACTTATGTAAAAAAAAGTATAAGCGTTCCCTCTTCGGCATTTTTATATACAAAGATATTAAAAATTTCGTAAAATACATTTGAAAGATTGTGCATGTACATTATTTAAATTTAAATAACAAATTCACAAAACAATAAAATACAATATTTTAATTATATCGATCTGTATATGATATTAAATTCTGGTTATAAAACAATTTTACTATTTAATATATACTTACCGGATGTGGTAATCTCGCTTGCAGTCGTTTCTATTTTCTCTGTTATTGTAATCTCCGTTTCTGATGAAGATAATTCTGAAAATGTACTTGGCGGAGATTGCGTAGACTCGGTCATATCTGTAGATTCAGTAGTTGCTGTTGTTTTACTCTCTGTCGAATCGGTCGTTTCATCTGTCGCTGTATCTGTTGTATCTGTTTTAGTGGATCCAGTGGTTTCTGTTGAAGTGATAGCGATATCGGTATCAGCTGATTCGTTTGTATTGCTTGTTATGTCATTTGAACCAGTTGTCGTACCACTGGATTCGATTGTTGTCTCTGAATTTTTACTAACGGTTGATTCGATATCTACATTGCTAGCCAATTCGCTGGTGATGGTAACGGAATAATCTGTTGATTGTTCTATTGTCCCTGATTCAACATAAATTAACAAACATAAGACAATAATGGTTTTATAAACGATATACTCAACATTATGATTTAACGATATGATTTACATATATCAATTTGGATAATCGGTATCTCAAAGACTATAATAAATTAATATATTAATATTTGAAATATATGTACTATCTATAATATAATATCTATAATATGAGAAACGTACTATCGAATTCTGATACTGAGACTTGAGTTACTTGAGTTTCTTTAGCAAATTCGTCTGTGGATGCACCGGATCCTTCAAAGCTGGTACCGGATCCTTCGAGCGTTACGTCAGTTCCTTCGGTGATATCCGATGGTTCATTTACGTCTGTTCCGAATTCGATTGTGCCGGTTTTGCCTTCCGTCGTAATTCCACTAATTGAACTTTCGCTCTCTTCGACAACGGTAGAACCAATGTCGGTGATAGTGCTGCCGGTGAACAAGCTAGTATCAAATATGGTAAAATTATCGTCACCACTACCTTCGCCGCTACCCAATTCGGAAAGTGATATATCGCCTCTCGTAGAATCACTAAACATAGTGTCGTAAGTGTCACTTCCGGTAAACAATAAATTCGGAGTTGTTGCTTCTGTTTGCTCTATTAATTTGCCTATTTTCACTTTCTGAAACGAGAAAAGGCGCTTAAATGTTACAACTATCCGATTCTCGGCGAGATGTAAAATCGAAAGAGAGTCCCGCGTTACAAGATTGTTCCGCGCGTAAGGAAAGATATATTTGATTTGCGAATCTGACGACTCTTTGAAACGGTAAAATAATAAGAAATGAAGTTACGAAGTAACTCAGTCGTACTTAATATTTGATTAAGTACGACCCAGTTTTACTTACCCCCGCAGGAAGACTAAATTCAACAGCATATTCTTCTTCCTCTTCCTCCTCACACTCTTCCTCCTTCGAGTCTATCGTTTTCTCATCTGGCTCCTCGTCGATTGGTGTCATGCCTGCGTTCACCAAAATAACAAATTTATAGAAATCCTTAACAATTTAAATTCTTAACACGGGCCTTTTAAAAGTATGAGCGTATGAAAACTTTGGATGATTCTATGCGTGCATTCTATTTATCATTAACTAGTTTCGAAAGAACATTGAAAATTTAATTTTCTTTGCTACAGAGAATAAGTGATATTTTATTCACGGTAGGTGGTTCTCTCGTGTGTGTTGCCCTTTAGAATAAGTACTAAGACATTTAAATTTAATACCACGAACCTCATTATTTTCACGCCTGCTGTTCTAGGCATATTCTATATTTTATGCTCGTAGTCTATAATGAAAAGGTTTACGTCATAATAAATCGCGTATCCTGCGTTATAATAAAGCAAATGTTAATACATTTTACGATTTCTAAAGATGAAAATGACAACAACATTTAAGAGATTTTCAAAGTAAACAGACAATCGATGATAGAATTTATTTTCTAAATAAGATAGTTTAATAGATTTGTCAACAAGGCGTTATCATTTAATGACGTATACATATATTGTATACTATGAAATAAATAAATTTTAAAAATTTAATCAATAAGTTAATTAAACAAATTTACTTTCTAAAGTTATTGATATAAATCTTTTTAAACTATATTGTTATTTAAAAAAATATTTTCTTTTTGTGTAAAAATTATTAATTTTATCTATGTTAAATATTAAACTATTTTATTTAAAAAATGTAAAGTTTAAGCTTAAATTTAATTTTTACCTTCTTCACAAGGTTGATCATTGCATTTTTCGGTAGAAAATATGATGCTGTCGGCATTACACTGATTCACAGGTACGGTTTTGTTGTCCTTCATACAAATTACTTTACGAGTCATGTCACCACCATCACATGGCTTTGAACACTGCAACACATTATGACGTGATTGATAATAACATCGTTGATTGCATTTCGAAAAAAATTAATAAATCTGAATTATAATCAAGCTTTACAAAACTGTAGTAGTAAATTTGAGGTATTTCTCCGGCTACAATCGCGCTAGAAAGTTGACACGCGCACACACACGCATAAATGTATCTATATGCACGAACACTAGTCCGCACTGAAGACAGTTGAAATGTGGCAACACAGCCACAATATCCCGCTCGGCGTGCGAGAAGGAGAATTTCATCAAATTACATTAATTACAAATTTAAACTACTCTAATTCAGAAACGCGACACCGCTAGGCCTCTCCCTATTTTTTTTTTATAAGGTCCCTATAATATATTTCTACATTAGATATTTATTTTTAAAATAATCTGTAGATTTTCGCCGCAAAGTATTAAAACGTTACTTCGACAAGGCTTGGTATAAGAGTTTACGCGTTAAAAGCTGAAACTTTGAAAAGGTGAATATCTCCATTTCGGCAACGCTAGGCTCTTTGAAATTTTAATCATATATATAGATAAAATTATTTTAAACATAATATCCAAATTTCAAAAAAATCTGTAGAAACTCAATTTCTCGGAGAAATACCTTAAACAAAGCAGTATCAATTAACCGTGAAAATAAGAATGTTATGTTATCGCGGAAACAATTAAAAATTAAAGCAAACCTTGCTCCAAGGCCCTGCGAACCATTCGCCTTTACATGGTTCTTCAGCGCTGCAATTTTTAATATTTTCAAATTTTTTTTGGGGGTCGCAATTCTCGTTCGAAACTTTCTTCACAATATCGTTGCTAAAAGTGCCACAGAACACTTTGCGCATTTGAACGCCGTATCCACATTTTGCCGAGCACTATGGAAATGTGTAATAAAGATGAAAAACACCAAGAAAATCAATTTTATTATTATATATTTAACCTTTAAAAAATGGGAATCTGTTTTAAAAATTTCATAGCTTTTTTTCCTTTAGTAAAATTTATAATTTATTACTTCATTATATTATTTCTTGCCTCAAAATATGGCACTATTTCACAGTGCCACTATAATATAATGCCACTAGTGGCATTCCCGTTTTGTAATGATTAATTAAAAGGAATATAAGAATGTTTAATTCAGAGGATATTACTAATGCGCTTAGTCAATTTATTTGTATATATATTTGTATCTTAAAGTAAATTTTTATTTTAAGGTAAATAGACACGCACAAGAAAATATTTATTTACTTACTTCGCTCCATTGCGAGGTGAACCACTGAAAATCGCAATTCTTAGCTTTATCACAGTCTCTTTCCAATTCTGGCTTCTTGTCTGCATCACACAAATTATCTGGATAAACTGTGCCATCTTGAGTAGCGCAATGGGCCGTTCTGGTTTCTTTGATGAGATCACATTTCTCCTCGCACTATCAAGACAAGATTTTCAATTGTATCAGTTTGTTCAAAACTCTAAGAAGCGTAAAGAAGTAACTTCGGTAATTTTTTCATTTAATGAAAAGTTATTCGCAGATTCAAAGAACTTACTCCGCTCCATTCCGAGGTAACCCAATCGAGACCGGCGCAAGGTCTTAGCTCGCAAGCTTTTTCATTTTCAGGCATTTCCGCTTCACATGCACCATTTTCCAACACTTGGATCTTGCCATCGATCTTCTTGTAACACGTAACTGTTCTCGTTTGCTTACCAGGTCCGCATATATGATCGCACTGGAAGAAAATTTATTTCTTTCGTCGAATCGTATAATTCATCGTAATTTAATACGTGATAATGTAACTTACAGGCTTCCAGGGCCCTTCGTGCCACTGTGGACAATCTACGTTTTCGTTGCATTCTCGCTTAGTAAGCCCTTTTGGTCCCACTTTTTTCAAACATTGAGAATCATCCACCACGGAAGCTATTCCACCTGAGATGATTTGTTCGCATTTGATCTCTCTAGTCTGCTCGCCCCCTTCGCCGCAATGTTTGGTGCAAGTTGACCATGAGCCTTCTACCCAAATAGGCGGACATGGTTCTTCGCTACAACTTTGAGTGTCAGTCGGTTCCAACTGCGGATCGCATAAACTCTCATCCATTGGCTGATTGTCACGCCTTCGTACACAAGCCACCCGTCTCGATTGGTAGCCTTGAAAAATAAACGAAACAGATTTGCTCTTGAATTGAAATGCAACTGTTGCTTTAATTATAACGGATTTGCTTTAAAATTTTGAACACCACTTGTTTTTATTGCAGTCGTATTTACAATTAGTTGCTATGTTTCGACAAATTTATTAATATTTTGATATTATAAAAATAATTTGCTAAAGATCAATCGAAACAACTTTTTGGTATTATCAACATAGATCAACAACTCTTCCAAATAATTGTGCGTATTGTATGAAAGCATCGTTTTTTAATAATAAGGAAAGTAATGATTTCAGAACCTACACTTTTAATCACGTGCATATTAAAATTATAATCTTATAATACCTCCACCGCAACTAACACTGCAACTTGAAAATTCATCGGTTACCCAAGTGTAACTATCCGGGTCGGTACGCGCCGAAAACTTCTTGGGTATGCTGTACTCGTAATGCACTCCCACGTTACGATCTTGATACAGCAACTGCGAAAGGAAAATAATTTCTCATTAATACATTTCTCGTTCTGAACATTTCACTAGCAAAAGAAAATCGATACCGATGTACATATACCGACCACAACGTAAATCGGTTCATTTGTAGGTCCTAGAGCCGTGATGGTATCGGGTGCTGCAAATCCTTGAGGATCTCTAGCATAATGAAAGATCGTACCAGAAAAGTGCAAACTGCGTGGAAAATCTATCCTCCAATTGCCATTTAAGTAGTAATGTCCGGTTGTGTTGCGTATGGCTAATTAACAAGTTTCAAGAATACTTGGAATGAGCAATTATATTATTAAACAACTTATTGATATTATATTCATTGATATTAAATTATTAATATTAAATATATGTATATGTGTCGCGCTATTTTACCGTTTGATATTTATACAAGTTTTCATTTCATTTAAACTCACCTAAATAATTGTTGGATGGATAATTTTCTTTAATAACGATATTTGTCGCACCTTCGGGAATAAGTAAAATATCGATATATCCTGGAAATGTAATATTTCTCTATTACTAGTGCAGAGAAATAGATTAAATAATAGAATTGCAAATAGGTTTATAAAGTAAAAGAAAATTAATTAAATTATGCAATATTAATTATACAGAAATAATTTTAATTGCTTGTTAGAAATTTATTATGGAATATGTGTTACTAATATTAATAGTAAATATTAATCAACGAAAATAACTTACCCACTTGAAGGTCGTCTGTGTCAAATAAGCCGGTAACGGTATTGCAATCTGAGCCATCGCCACCACATTCTCTACACGCATCTTCTTTGGCATCACTGCCCAGCATCATATCGCACCCGACATGCTATTTAAAACAATTTATAACAGCTTAATCACAAGTCTATTATTTAAAAAAAAAACATAAGCCTATATTATTCGATAATAAAATAAAATTACATATCTAATTGTGTTTTACGCAATTATTAAATTTATAATAATAATTAATGATTAAACGTAACTCACCATGCATTTGCCTTCGACGCAAACATCGTTCTTTTCGGATTCACAAGGAGTGCCGTCGATCACAGCGACTTTATGTCTGTAGAAAAATCGCTCGCCTCGTGGCATGCAATTTAGTTCGCATTTATTCGGACTTCCGATGTACGGAATCCAACTATAGAAAACAAATGATAATATGTAAATAAAAATTGATAATTATATCGCGCCCATTTTATTATCGGATACTATGAAGATGAACTAGGGATGCATCGGATCATAAAATTATCAGATACCGGACATCGGATATCCGAAAAAAATGTCATATCGAGTATCCGATATCCGGTAGGGCAATTATTTGGCCAGGTACCGAATATTTTCCGGATATCCTTCCCCCGCCATTACAAATTTTCCAAAATTCTAAAAAAAAAGGGAAAGTAAGGGGAAAATAGCGATAATAATTGAACAAGGTTGTTTGCAATACAATTTCAATATTGTTTAGTAATCAAAATTCAATATTAATAAATTTTTCATAATAGACAACATTTCAGCATCTTTCGGTGACAATCTATTTCGATTATCGGCATACTTGTGCAAAACCATAAACTGTTCAAGAGATTCAGTTGAAAAGAATAGAATTTTGCATCAACAATGCAAACAATATAAAATTTCAACCGGATATATGTTTTCGGATACTAATGACATCCGACCGGATAGTAAAAAGAATATCGGATAATACAGGATACTAGATATTTTTCGAATATCAGATGTATCTCTATTTATGAACTATTATTTAATTCTTCTGTTTAACAAACGATATGCTTTGCATCGTAGAAAAAGATTAATCACAGCAAATAAAAGATTTATCATTTTATTTTATGTTGATAAATAATAACATTTGTGTGATCATAATATAGATTTTTGGTAGGAATTTTCAAATCCTTTTCGATTACTCGATGCATGAAGAAGAAAAAGTATCCATAATAGAAGAGAAAGTTCAAATATAGGCAATAGTCTAAATATGGATAAGCGGTGTTTCCAACTTAGATATAAAAAATAAAAGTGAGACAGACAGATAGGGAGAGAGAGAGAGAGAGAGAGAGAGAGAGAGAGGGGGGGGGCGGAATAAAAGAGACCTACTCGTAATAAACTCCTTCGAAGGGTACATTGTTAAACTCCGCACACTGTTCCGCACGAAAATCTTTCGGTTCGCCAAGACATTCCTGCAAAAAGAAATATAATTGAAGATTTTTCAATTCAAGCAGGATAAAATTATTGACGCACAGATCGAATTTTAATTTAAATTTCTTGATAGTCTATAGTATCGAGCAGACAAATAAAATTAAAGTGATTCTAATTTAATTACTGAAAATGCAAATTACTAAGAAACCATAACTTTTCTTTCTGTAATAAAAAATGATAATTTAAAGAAATAAATAATATTTGTTAATATTTTCTATCAACATTTTACAATATTTTGTGATGATCATATTGAAAAATTCTTTTGGCACTTTTGCGTTACAATAAATATCAGTCAATGCAGTAATTTAAAAAACGGACTAAATAAAAATAATATTTTTGCAGGAGATAACGTTTGCTGCGATCAACTTTTATCGTGGATGAAAATAAAAATTCCATAATGCAAACATAATTATTGGTTTGCAAATGTGTAATAAAAAGAAAGTAAAACGACGTAAAATGAATGCTTGAAAACTTAAAATTGCTGCAAAAGTAATTCATATAAATTCTTTTCCATCGCATTCCACTCCGCTTTATCATTTTTATTTTGTCAATTTCGAATTCAAAATATACATCACAGTGGTGAATGTCGAGTTTTTATATGAAGAAATATACACATGCTTGAGTATCGTGTTGAGGAAAGCGTCTCATTACCGTATAAAGGGACCGAAGAAAAATGTCGCTTAAAGGTAGAAAGATTTTTGTAATATCTCTATTTTTTAGCTAACGGTGTTTCTTTTGTCTTTTAGATCAATTTGATTTCTTGGGTATCTTATCTCATGAGATACATTATTTGCTTAATATTATCACGGTAGTAAGACTAAAAAAGAAGTAAGTTATTTGTCGAACTTGATTTATTTAACATATGCAGTTTTATATCTTTACCTTTTTATCGCACTTTTATCAATTTTAATTAAAAACTATTTACGAATTATTTTTTTGATTAATTTTTACATTATATCTAAATTAATTACTAACTCTTTTTGGTAACTTGAGTGATGAGACTGATAGATTGAAAAATTTTATCTTTGTTTAATACCATGAAATAAATGCGTATGTATGTTGTGCTATTTCATGAACGACCCGTAAAAATAAAATGAGCTAGAAATAGATGTGCTTCACATTGGAGAGCAGATGAGGCAAGTAACACCGATAAATTGAGTGGAACCTTTGCAAAAACGAAGAAAAGATACTCCGATGGGACCGGTACCACGCACGAGGATACAGCGTAAAATTTATGGTATGAGATTTCTTGCGAACGGAATGAAACACTAGTAAAAATATGGCGAGGCAACAGTATAGAATTTATAGGATTATTATTATCATGTCATGACATAATTTCAGTTCATTAATGAGAACCGTAATTCTTTTTAGATAATTATGTTTTAAAAATTTTATATTAAACAAAATTTTTTTTAATGCTATTACTCGTAAAAGGTAAAACGATTTGTCAAAAAAGTTTTTTTAAGAATTCAAAGTACGTAGCAAATAATACATGCAAAATAAATTATATAATAATTATTGATAAGTCTCGCACTATTTCAGAAAACTGATGCATCGTACATCACCACTATATACAGGATGGACCAAAAGTTTGGATACAGTTGAATATCTCTTTAAACAAAACATTTTTGAGAAAAACGTTTTATATATAAAGTTGTAGGGTCTGAATAACGCATCAAATAGTAAGACTTATTTGACCTTGAGTATAAGTATGGAGGAGCTCTCAAGATCAATTTAAAAATTTTAAACGTAAGCTTCCATTTTTTATTCAATATTTTTGTAACTGACATCGAGAGCTTTTCAAAGCATTACAATGAAACTCCTTTAGATTAAATCTTTTTCGAGTTGACACACACACACACACACACACACACACACAAAGTTCAGATTCCGCCAGTATTAACATTATTCATATTCAAGGTGTCCGATCAATCGGATTAATATTTGTCAAGATTATATAATTATGACTTCAAACAACATTCAGTATAGGTTTTAGTTGTCGCGTCGCGTCGGTCGGACAATTTGGATAACGCTAATGCTGGGGGTACCTGAACTTTGTCAACTCATATCTCGAACAAAACTTAATCAAAAGTTTTATTGTAATACTTTGAAAAAAACTGAATGTCAGTTACAAGAATAATGAATAAAGAGTAGTTTTCATTCAAAATTTTAAAGTTGACCTTGAGAGCTTTTCCATAAGTAGGGGAAACCGGGAACAAAAATAACAGAGTACAATATTTTAACATCGTTAATATTTCTTAAACTATAATAGAGTAATATAGGTATGTATGCGGCATGATAAAAATTCTGTAGACAGATCGGCATTGAATCGTTCGTTACATGCTGGTTCGCGCAAAATGTACACGAGTGCAGGAGCAGAAATTATTTTGCATCAAGTAAGTTTTATTGCGTGCATAAAATCTAAAATTTTTTTTTCTTTATAACGAAGATTATAAAGTTATTATTACAAGTACTTATAAAGACAATACATACAACGTATTATCTTCCCAGATAACCAAGTCTGTAGAAAGCAGATATTTTAAATGTCTCCTACACACTATGCCAACAAGATAGCAACAGAACTGTTATAGAATTAGATTTACATAATATACTGTTGACAGACTGCTAAATAATATAAATACAGAATCAGATATAATGTCGATATCTCTGAAAAATATAACAGAATCAGATAATGTCGGATCTGCTCAGTTTCTGCCAACAATTTGCCTTCACAATTATGTCTGCGCGCGATAGGCGATGTTAACAGTATACAAGCCTAATGCGGACGCAGTTGATGGCAGACTGTCGTCACTTTATGCTTGAATCTGCTGGCAGTCTGCTGGAAGACTGCAGAGTTTGCTATCTGGGTTAATATGTTTTAATGATTATCTGTGTTGATGGTTTGCACATTTGAATTTTTATTTAGGTTTTTATTTAAAAAATTTGCTATGAATCCCTCATAAAATACCATTAGGGGACAATAATAACATTGATGTCTGAGGTCAGTTGTAACGTTACAATTGTCCTCAAACTTACTTGATTTTATTTTAGTATTGTTTTGTACAATGTTATTTGTAATTTCCTTCGTAGAATGCCGCTAACAAGAAAATACAAGACAGATTAAGAAAACAATTATACAAAAGAAGTGTCTTTATACAAACAGACATTTAATGAGGTTATAAAGGAATAGTTATCCATTTATGCATGAGCTGCAAGAAAAAATATGACTTATATGTATAGTTGTATTATGTATCTCTGGCAAATGTGTACAATTATCCCCCTCTACTGTTACAATCGTCCCGGGGGTTGAGACGGTTGTAACAAAATTCCTTATACTCATAGTCTTTAAACAAATATTACTTCTTTTCTAGTTACATAAAAAAGTTAAACCAAAGAAAATTATTGTAGCTAAATAAATTCTACATCTAAAGACATATACTTTTTTAATGTAAATATTATATTTTAACTGTTATAAAATCAAAATCAAAATGTTACTTTTGTTCCCGGTCTCCTCTTCACACTCAAAGTCAAATAAATCCCGTCATTTAATGTATTATTGAAGTCCCCTACAACTTTTGCAGAAAACATTTTTCTTAAAAATGCTTTGTTTATGAAATATTCGACTGTACCCAGACTTTCGGCTCTACCCCGTATAATTCTTTTTGAGAAAGATTTATTACGTTTGATACAATAGAGCGGAAGCACAAATAGACAAGGATAACATACAAGGGAGAAATAAATTATAAAAACGATGGCGAATCATCACTGTATATTGCAAATTTACTTTATTGTTAATTGTATATTTATCTTTTTATATGTCGTCTTATATACAGATAATATTTCATACAGAAATGATTTTTTTAATAATTTATGATCTATAATAAATATAATTATAAGTTTTTTATAACAAGATACAACTACTGTTGTTCCAGGAAATAAATGTCAATAACATCGCTCTCTTTATTATAGAGCTTGTATAGTGATGTACTTCGCTATTTGTGTTCTAGTTAGCATCTAGCTCTAACAAAGTTAATACTTCGCGAGTCAATGCCACATATAATAGACTTCCGTTCGTGAATCTTCTGCAGTCCGTCACAAAAACACATAAAACGCACACAATACAGAAAAAACGCTGACACAATATGTATTCGGATGCAGTTTCGTTATTAGATGATGTGCTTATATCCTAATACATTATCATATATCATAACATTAATATTTCTATTAGTACCTATTGTTTTTCTTTTTATAAAAATACCTTATTCAATTTGTTTCTTGCATCAAAATTATAAAAGTTAATATAGTAAGGAGGAAAAAGGAGCTGTAAAGAGAAGGAAGTACTGTTTGTGTGTTGTTTTAAATAGTTTAGACAGTTAATTAATGTTATGATAAAAAAATAATATATATAAAATAATTTTAATCTAGTGTAAAAAACTTAACGGCTTTGGGAATTAGCGCTGTAGAAAGTCCACGATAAATATTAATGTCAATATGCATCTGACTTTTAATTAGGAACAACAATTACAAAAATTTAAATAATCGCTCATATACATGTTTTGGCTAACTTTTTGGCCATCTTCAGTACATACTATGTTCAACGAGATATGAGATAGATGTGTACACCGAATGTATCTATTTCGTATCTCGTTGAACGTAGTTCAGAACGTATGTATTGAAGATGGCTAAAAAGTTACCCGAAATATGTATATGAACGATTATTTAAATTTTTGTAATTGTTGTTCCTAATTAAAAGCCAGATGCATGACATATTGACATTGATATCTATCGCGCACTTTCTTTAAGTTTTTTACTAGATTAATTTATTTATTTCAGGAGTTAATATCACTATCGTTTTAAATAATTTGAAATAAAAGGCTAATTATTATAAAAGTTTTAATAATATTTATCAATTACACTGATCGATAATGATTTTGCTAAATGGGTCATTTTAATTGATTCTTGTATGCTTCTTTTACATTGATTCTATAAATGAAGTGTTTATCTCCTACGAGATTTAATTTTTTTAATTGACATATTCTTTTTTTAAAAATTTATGCAATTTACTAACAACAATTCATCGTATGGAATGTTTTTCCTTAAAAATTAAATTAATTAATTTTTGTTTGGTCTTTTTATCATGAGTAAAAAAAATCATATTAAATTTAGTACTGTTCTCTTTAAATCGTTTATTTACGTATAACAATAAGCCGAACAGATAAGTAAAAAAGTTTTTAAATGTTATTCAAAAACCCTGCTCTCCTCATAGATTAAATTTAGTAAACAGAATTAAAATTAAAAAAATACTATACGAAACACTCAGATCAATTTAACAAAAGAAAAGTGAAACTTTTTGTCGAATAGTATGTTATCTAATATTATTATGCGATAAATTTCGAAATATTTTAATAGTAACGTTGAATTTATTGCGTTCCATTAAACTCAATGACTATCTGTCAATTCAAGATACAAAGTGATAGATTTTTGTCGTATCAGCTTCAGAAGACTTACGTAATATTCTCTTAGTTCAGTCTCATAATTGCGTAACACACACAGCGGCATATATTTTTTTACAGATAATTTTTATTTTGAAATAATTTTCTATTTTATTTTTTGCTTGTTTTCTACCCATTCAATAGTGTTTGATGAATCGTGAAGAAAAGGCAAAACGCCGTTGGATTTTAATTGCAGTTAATTAATCATAATTTTTCATAATGATCCACACAAATGAAAACATCACAAAAGAAAATGCAACTATAAGTTTTAGAACTTGCAGTATTTAATGATGTGTGAATACCACGTTATATTTTTGTTTCATATTTAAACTTAAATTGAATATTATATTTTTAATATAGTATGCATGTGCGTGTAGGTGTGTGCGCGCACGTGCGTAGGCGTGTAGATATGTGTAAAGATTAATGACAATGCAATTGGTTAAGAGGGCCGAATTAAATAATGACGTAAATTATATGATTAAAAATTGGCGTGTCATTAGTTGAGCCATATCTGAAAGGCTGAAAGCAGGCAGGATGTTATGTTTCGAGAAAAACGTGATAGAAGAACTGAGAGAATCAATTATTCATTGAGATCAGCGATCACACATAATAAATTGCAGATTAATCATAATTTTTCGTATGGATAGATCGTCATTTTATGTGTAATGACAATATAATGACAATTATAAGAATCGAAAGAAAGGAGTCAGAATGTAAATTCTAATTCAATGATTTTTGTTTGCAGATGAGAGTAATAATTGAAACACATATCATGCGTCTGTCCCGAGGTCTCTGATAGACTTGTCAGACTATTTGATCTATTAAAGTATATCGCATAAATCACTCGCTGTTACAAGGCAATTAATCAAGTTCTGAATTGTACTCGATTCGCATAGCCCACAGTATTCCCATTACGGAATCTTTTTACAATTTCTGGCCAATATTAACACGTCGCGAAAGACAACGCAATCACTCGCATCCAACAAATGAGTTTATCGTGAATAAAATAATTACACAGTGGATACAAATTTTGCGGACTAAGCACTATAAGAAAATTCTGTTAGTAGGTACTAGGTGAGGGGAGATGAAATGTCAAAGAGTTTGTCAAGATTAGTTCGATTCTTTTATTTATGAAGCTTCAAAGTTGAGTATAAAATGAATGAAAAATTGACTTATTCTTGTCTACATTATCGAATTTTTTGAGAAAACTATTATCTTGATTACATCACTGAAGCGCACATTCAGAAATATAAATATCTAAAAATCATTAATTGATGTATCCGATGTGACAGAGACGATAAAATCGAAGATACAGCAACTAATGGTTTTTAGAATTATTTATATAATATTTCTGAATGCGCTCTTCGATGATGTAATCAAGATATGTAATAGTTTTCTCAAAAAATTCGATAATGTAGACAAGAATAAGTCAATTTTTCATTCATTTTATACTCAACTTTGAAGCTTCATAAATAAAAAAAATCAAACTAATCTTGGCAAACCCTTTAACATTCCACCTCTGCTCATCTAGTACTAACAGAATTTTCTTACAATGCTTTTTCCGCAACAATTTTTTTCAAAATTGTTCCACAGTGTTATGAGTCGTGTTAATTATAACAATTTTTCGTACTCACTTGAATGTTACACGAGAAAAATCTCCTGGATGCATCAGTACACTTGTCATGACCATTATCACTGCAACATTATAAAATAAGTGTATTATTTTGTGATATAAATGAAAGTCTGAAGTAATGAAGTTAAAGTAAAAGTATTACTAGCTCAAATTTTTTGTTACTTTTGTTACTTTCTCATGTTTATAATTGTATGTTTATATCAAATAATAAATATTATAAGAAGAAAACCAATAAGAAATAAGAATTAAAGGTCCATAATGGTTGAAGCTAGATCTTTGATGCTTATAAAATAATTCAATGTGAATTATACATATATATATATATTATATATGTACATACATATATATGCCATATTTGTAATCATTTTGAACTACGAGCGTCCTAGCCTTGATGATCTAAAGGCTTAGGACGCTCGCACGGAATGCTAGAGATAGTAGAGATCCGGGTTCGACTCCCGGCCGAGGTAATATTTTTAGTAATATAAATTTATTTACAGTTTTTCAGCACATTAACAATTGCATTAATATGATGCCTGATTGTGCATCAAAATTATTTAAGAATTGCTCGTCAATTTAATTTAATTCGTGATATTATTCCAATAGTTTAATTGCGTTTATAAGTCCGGAAAACCAATTCGGCGCGCAGTTTGAAAGAATTATAAATATTGTATATGACACACACACACACACACACGCGCGCG